AAGTATATTTGTTACTAAAATTTGTTCCTCGGTTCCATTTTGATGGTTTTTGCTTACTTATATCCATAAACTTTAGCATTGTGATTATTTATTTTCTTTAATATTTATTTAAATGGCTACACCCAATTTATATTTTCATGTTGATAATTGAATTGATAGGAAATAAATGTAATCCGAAATTAATTAGAATTATCATGTCATTGAAACCAACATGAAACCAAGTTTGACCTGAGAAAGTATAGTGTAGCAAAAGTAAAAAAAAACTTCAAAAATAGCGTTCTAAAAGGAAAATGAATAATTAAAGCTAATAAGTCAAAATGATTAATTAGTTAAAAGTGGGCTATAATGACACAAAATATAATATAGAGTTTGTTCTTGATCCTTGATAGACTTTAAAAATCACAAATTAAAGATTAGTGCTAACTCTAGTACACTTTTATATAATAAAAACATCAGCATAAGCATATAAAAGTACTAAAAAGTTTATGAAAATCTCTTCTAAAGATTCCTAATTTACCCAAAAATACTATTCTATAAAATATTAAGAAAATAGTGCATTTCATTCCTTCTATTTTTTATTGTGACATTATCAATCATTCTCCACCTTTATCTTTTTTGATAAAATTAGACTACTTTTAGATGTCAAAAAAGGATAGTAAAATCTTAAATTAGAAGTTAAATTTATATATCTTTATGAAAAAAAATATCAAACAACTACTCTTTTTTGCTAAGTTTTGGAATTTTAGTGGTTTTTTGCGATTTTGGTTTTTTAAGGGCGTGTTTTGCAATTTTTGAAACTTCGAGAGTGTTTCTTTCTTTAAAATTTTTTTAAATTTTAAGTTGGATGCTTGTAATTCTATATTTCATGTGGCGGTGATAAGTTTTTAAATGTCATGACATTTCTTGCAACTCTGAATTTTGAGGGTATTTTTTGAAATTATTAAAAATTTAGATTGTTTGTTACAAAATTTAAATTTTTAGCAGTCTGTTGATAATTTTGAGATTTGATAGGTATTGGTTATGAGTTTTTAAAATCTATGGTTTTCGTTACTTTTTAATTTTGAAGGAGTTTTTTTGTACTTTTTATCATTTTGAGGTTATTTTTTATAATTTTTAAATTTTTAATGCGTGATGGTAATCCCTTAAATTCATCTTTGTTGTCTGCAAGTTTTAAAATTTCAAAATTTCAAGGAGTTTTTTTATTATTTGAACTTTTAAGGGTGTTTTAATAGTTTTTAAAATATTGAGGGTGTTAATTGCAAATTTTAAATTCTTCAGTTGCTGCTATTGATTTCTAAATTTCATGTTTGTTGTTTTAAGTTTTGAAACATCTGGATGTTTTGTGTAATTTTAAACTTTTAAGGGTGTTTCGTGTAATTTTCGAAACTTTTTTGGTTTTTTTGTAATATTTCATATATTGTAGCATATTAGTTATTTACCTTAACAGGCTGATACCATGGAGCTATCTTATGTATTTTATTAATATTATTTTTTAATTATTGACCTATAACTAGTTCACATTGGATTAGAATATGATTATGATGGATTAAAATTTAAATGAAGTATTCAAAATAGTCAAGAGTAATAATAACAATGAAAAGATTTTTTCGAACTCGTACTTTTAAAGAGAGTATGGTATATATATGGCTTGTTTTAAAAGACTAGGCAGCCCCCGCCTAGCTCTAAGCGACGCCTAGGCGTCCGTCTAGCGTGCGTCCGTCTAGGGGCTGTTTGGTTGATGTATTTGGCATTGGGGATTGGGCAGAAAGCCTGCCAAAAGAGCAGAGGCGTTTTGGGCAGAAAAGTGCCTGCCAAAAGTGCTCTTTTGCGCAGGTCTTCGCCAACCCCCTAATGCCAAATACATCAACCAAACAGCCCACTAGCGTGACCACTTAGTGCAAGTCTCAAGGCCTACGTGGCGGTGGGAGCTCGTGAACCCCCCCTCCAACAAACTCCCAGCAAGCTCCCAAGGGGCTCCCTGGGCTGATGTGGCCAGTGGGGCCCACCGGAGCTCTTGGGAGCTCCCAAGCATTAAAAAAAGAGTTTTTTACAAAACCCCCCCTACTTTTAAACCCAAAACCCAAGTTGAAAATAGTTGTTAAATGGAAGAGGGTTTTTTTGATATTGTTACAAAACTAAAATAGAAGAGGGTTTTTTTTGATATTGTGGAGCTCCTAACTAGGAGTTTGTTGGAGATCAACATTAGTTAGGAGGGTGATGTGGCATTGGAAATGATGGGTCATATCTTTAGAGCTCTTGGGAGTTTGCTGGTTAGGACTCCCAACTAGGAGCTTGCTGCACTTGCTCTTAGGCGTCGACCTGGACTGCTTTCTGTGGCACTGATCACAGCAATGACAGAGTGGATGACAAATCTTGCTCAGAGTATCAGGTGTTATATGTATTTGTTTATTTAGGTGTTTTAAAAGCTGCCATGAATTTTACAACAGGCAGGTGTTGTTATTGCAAAACAAAAAAAGATTACATGGAACGGTAAAAATATATGGCTGACAATTGTATCGGTTTTAAACATATGAATTTACTGAAGCGTAGTGTGTTTAATTTCGTTAATAAAGCAGCACTAGCTGATGCTCGCTTTGCATGATCTTCCAAATCAACAAAGCATAATCTTTAAAGAGTATTGAGCCCAGATTGGTAATTTTAACTCAATTGGTGTGAGTGTAAATACTAATATATTTAACTTCATTCACATCATCTGTATCTATAAAACATTTGCTAATTTTAAGTTGGCTTTATACACCCCCTACTTATGCCCTAACTCCCGAGACCACAACACGAGACCAATTATTTGTTGCTTGACGATTAATGTGGTTTCGTTAGAATTAGGATTCTAAAAAAATTATTTAGAATTGTGGGCTTGCATAATATAAATGTTGATGAATTATTTGAATTTTATTAAATTATAACAATCCTTGATTTTTGATGTAGGGTTTGTCAATTACAATTTAACTAGAAATTGATACGTTAACTTTTATATAGGCTTTTTCTTTTATAGCCGAATTAAAAAATTGCTATAGGACATTTGTAATAGATTCTTATAGTTTCGAAATATAAAGTGTAACAAATAATTTGCATATGACGGAATGTTAATCTTTCAGTTTCGTTTGTGAACGAAATACTCATTATTTATTTCTTTAATGGAAGACCAAGTGCTGGATTGAATAGTATGCCCATATACAATGAAGGATCTATAAAAATGTTCATGTTGTCTAAATCATGTAATTTTGATAGAATGATGAAGGAAATACGTAGAGTTACTGGAATTAATCATGGAGAGTATGCAACTAATGTGTTCTGCAACTACCTGATAAATGAGAATAGAACAACTGCTATAGAGATCACCAACAATCAAGAATTGATTGACATGAAACAACTCTCTAAAAAGTAAATCTCAATTAAGTTGTTCATTGAAAAAATTCTGATTTTCGCTGTTGCTCAAGTTTCAAAAGCTCCAGTGAGTTTTTCCGCGTGCTTGACTTAGAAATAACTTGGTTGGATTTATGTCATCACCAAGTGCCATGCACTTAGAAAATGACTCGAGTGAAGTGGCATGGACTCAACTACAACATTGAAGCGGGTCTTCCCTTTGTCTGACATCAAGTGATATGTTTGACAATGCTTCGTGTCATGTTACAGGTCATTTACCGATCGATTTCTTTGTAGAAGAGGATGCAGATGATGATTCTAAAGATGCTGAAGAAGATGAGCGACTTGATAGCATGCAGTGTGCTAGTGGAGACATCAATAAGGACACTCGTTGGATGAATTAATTTTGTGTAAACAGCGAGTATGTAGAGTCTGAAGAACCATTGGTAGAAGAGTTTTAAATGAGAAATATATAAACATCTCACAAGCTCAGTTTGTTGATCTTGGTTCAAAATTTAAATGACTTGAGGGCTTCACTTTCAAAAAGGAGATCTATTCAAGAACAATGGGGCGTCAAATTCAAGCCGATAAAAACTAATACGACAATCTACCATGTAAAGTGCTACTTTAACAACGAGAAGGGTCAATGAGAGTATGCAAATGCTCAAGATGAAAGAAATGTGAAGTGTCCTTGGAAGCTAAATGCACTGTAGTATTGTATGACAACAACTAATTGCTCCGAAAGTTTCAATAGCATGCTTAAGGGTGCCCAGGTTATGCCAATTCAAGCCTTGGTTGCAAGGATATTTTACAGGTTGAACATATATTTTAACAAAAGACGTGCTGATGGTGCAAGTGTTAGACGAAGAGTTGCACCATAAAAATTGACAAAATACTACAGAAAAGAATTGTGGCTATAAGATCATGTAGAATTACTCCGTTCAATGACAATGAGTGGGAGGTCAAAGATTGTGTAGGTACTTACACCATTTATCTCTACGACCAAGAGTGTGCAGTTGTACTTGCAATATAGCAGAATTGCAAAACTTACCATGTCAACATGTCTTAGCGACTAGTTCCAATCAAGATGGTGGTGCTAGAATGTCTTATGACCGGTATTGCTCCGCTTGGTATTTAAACAAATCATTACCAAAAGACTTGCAAGAAGAGTTCCATCCTCCCGATGACGGTCACTATTGGCCGACTTATGATGACACTGTTTTTTTTTTTTTTTTTTTTTTTTAATTTTTTTTGATGACACTGTTTTTTTTTTTTTTTTTCTTGTTAAATGTATGTTCATAAGATGCCTTCACAAGAAAACCGATCAAGAGAACCTCAACTGTCCCTACAACAACTTGGAGAGATGACAATTTGGATTTCTTTTCTCCCTTCAACAACGGGACGTTACCCCTCTCTTGATTTCTTATGTTCCACGGTCCCAGAGTCACATGACCATATACCTTCTGAAATAATATAAACTTATGCGGTAGTAATTAACTTTATATACTGAAATCCTATGATGCTCAGATAATTTAGATCTTAGCGAACAAAATGGCTAAGCATACTTCAAGCCATAAAATGATGTCAACGAAACATGTTCTACAATAAGCTTTCACTGCACTAAATAATCCATGATAACTGAATTAAATAATTGTGATGCACAATTTACGTTACATACTTCACATCTGTATCAGCAAACAATTTCTTTTTGGAAATAATATAACTCGTAGCAAAGCATATTAGAATAATTTTCATTGTTACACTCGCAAAAAAGAGGGGAAAAGGAAGGGGGGAAGAAAGAAAAAAAAAATGCAAGTCACCGCATTTTGTAATGCTGAGTTCTAGAGACCTGGCAGCGCTGTCCATTCAAGGAGTATTTGACCGTGATATCAACATCTCGAGGGTTCTTGCTGTTGGGCTCAACAGTCATAGTGCCAACCAACGCTTCACCTTCACAAATGGTCAGCACATCTTCAAGGTACAGAACAGTCTGCTTCCAATGAGTCCCCCTGGATTTTGGTCCTGCACCAACACAAGATTTTAAGGTTTCATAAGATCAAGGGCTCATTAGATCATGATACATGTCAAGTTACGAAGCACATAGCGAATGGGAGGTCGGGAGAAAAAATCCTATGGAGGGCCCTCTGTCAAAGACAATTCGGGAGATAGGAGAATTTACCGTGTCTCCCATCATAAAATTACAGCTTGATGGTTAATTACCAACCAACTCTAATTTCTACTGTGACATGTGTTGCCACATGCTTTTCTAACTAAGACATGTCACGATCTCTCGCATCTATATGATTTTCTACAGGGGAGACCTGAATCGGATTTATTTCCCCTGCACAGAAAGGACAATCAAAGGACCTCAAACATGATTACTGATAGAGAGGTAAAATATTCACATAGGTTATAGATATAAAGGTCAACTATTTGGGTGCATATTCACATTGACTCTATCAAGAGGTTGTTAGCATACTTCCAGTGGAACCCAAGTTTAATTTGTTTTGAGGCACACATATTTAAGCTAACCACATAAGTCGCTGTACAATACACGTCCTGTGAAATTCATTAAATGTGTGCCAGACTCAGAAACCCTTAAGCAACACTATATGCATATGAATGTCATCATTTACATTAAATGTTACCTTCTGTCTTGAACTGAGTATGACAGTAATCAGTTACAATAATGGCAACTATTAAGTCTTTAACCGACTATGACAACTAACCTGTAGAGAACCCCATCAATTTGTGACATTTGGTAAATGAAACATCAAAATACGCCACAAGAGCATGTATATAATCATTGCGTTCTGCCACGAGCTTGAATGGTGCTGTGAAAGAAGCATCTCCTGGAGTCATTTTAGAAATGTCCATAGTCTGAAAGTACAGCAGAAAAAAAAACAGTTAGACACTGTCATGTGAAGCAGGTAGCCAAGAGTCCAAACATGAAAACAAAAGAAAAAACGGGTTGAAAATATCACCTTGAGCAATTGGCTTTTTGTGACTATCTGATTTTGGTCCACTGTATCAACTAGAGGTTCAACCATAGACAGCTTCTTGATGCAGCTCATGTCAAAGCCATATACATTATTCCAGACTGTGGGGGAAAAAGCAGTGACACAAGTTACATGGCTGAATTTTTCAAAAAAATGAGAAATACGGACACACTCCACGACTTAATAAACATGAACATGAAACACAGTGTTAAGAATTATTTAGACATGATCTCACATTCAATCTTGTCGTCTTTGTACTCAGCATCCTCAATTGCGGTTAGGTACAGAGAAGCCTTGTCTGGTAACACAACACCGCCATTAATCTGCATGAAGACTAAATTAATCCGGTGACAAAGATATCTTTTATCAACAGTGAGACTAAGTGAACTCAAATCAAGCAGCAGAGTATATTAAAATTCATAAGGCTTCCAAGACTGGGAAAGCAAACGAAGTCCCAACTTTCGTAGATTTGTAAACAATAAATTAAGAAATTACAATTCAACTCTAACTTCTATGAATGATTTATTTTGTTATCATCAGTAACTATCAATAGGAATGAATTGTCCTTTAGCTATATGGGTAACGTCAGCATGATTAAGGTTTTCCAATACAGTGAAAACAATTGTATCAAGGCTTTTAATAAATTATCTCACGTGACAGATTGTCAATTAATTTTTTTTAAGTCATGTTTTGTTCCATTTAAAACTAGAGAATCAACATTATTCTCTAAACATGTTACAACTACACAAAGAAGTGAAGTGTGCACCAAGTAGTACATACCTGTATGTGAAAGTCCTATGTAGTTTAGTAAACTGACGACTTGCAGCGTGCACCAAGAATTACATAAAACCTAGGTAGAACACATCTTACAGGTCATTTCTGGAGTTAATCGCATTATTGCATACACCTATTCCAAATGATTCCTTGTTAACTTTAACATTCTTTAGATTAACTATAATGTGCTAAATTAATGCTGTTTCCAGAGATCAGCAAGGAACATGTTTCCCGACTTCAGTTTTAGTTTTGGTAAAACTGCCAGTAATGATGAAGGAGCTGAATAACGTCATGGTAAAATAAGACTGTATATACTATACTCTCTTGCTTGTTCCACATACATCAATCCAAATGGTCGAATATTTAAGCGGCTAGCTAGCATACTGAAAGTAGAAAATCGACAGAAACTAAGTGAGAATGCAACAGGAATTTCAGCCATTCACATTTTTGCTTGGTATAGATACAAATGATTTCTTCATCCAGTCCCTCTTTAACTTGGTACAGATAGAGATGATCTATTTCTGCAGAACAGGCTCCACAAAAAATGATATGCTCCACAAGAGATAAATTTATCTGCTACTCTTTTGGGTCTTTATCTAGTTTTAGGTGTGGAGGAATTTATGGAACACTTATTTGGAGCTTAAGTCGTATTTGGATTAGTTAGAATCTCTTGGGATGAGGTTATAAATAAGAAGCTTCGGCTACATTAGGATTTCATTACATCAAAATAAGAATAAATTGGCAGCTGTTGCTGCAGCATCTTGAGTCCAGCCAACACTAAACATTAATAATATCAAATTATAAGGGTATAATTAGTTAGATTAAATTAATTCATTACCTTGTGCAGCATACTAAAAGCTTAAACATTAATGTTATGCAACCTTGAACATCGAGTCTCTATTTTTATCTCTCTTGGTTATGAAACTTTCTCATTAGAAACTTAACACCAAAACTTCTATGCCCAAGGTGAGGCTATAACAGAGCCATTAATTTATTCAGATAAGAACTGCAAGTATACACAAAGAAGGTGTGGTGTGAAACAAAACTTACAAGCCATTTGTCACGTGCATACAGAACTGTGTTCAACATATTTTCAAATAATAGAAAGTAACCCATCCACTCAGAGATAATGACATCAACATGTGTAACAGGTAATACAATCTCTTCAACCTTTCCCTTCAATACTGTTATGACTGCAAGAAAGAAAGAAAAGTAGTGTCATGGTAATATGATAACAGCGTCAAATGTTCTATTGTTATAAAGTTGCAGAAGTACTCACCATTAGAAAATCCATTGGCCTCAACAATCTCTTTTGCCATGTCAGCCATGAGAGAGCACTCAACCTGCAGGAGGACTATGGGTTTGGTAACAGAGCAATAAACACAAAGGTACACTTTACAACATAAGCAGGCAAAATAACACAATGACAGAACTTGCTACAGTATAGAAATAAATGACAATTCTCAGATACTATGACTAGAAATGAAAGAAAAAGAAAGCAGTATATAATCACTAAAAATAGAACATGGACAAACTGAATTTTCCATCCGCACACATCTTTCAATTTTTTTACGTGAATAAACAATGTATATACATTAATACATCTTGAATTTTGTGTGTGCTAAGCTCACTCTGACATGAACCATAATGTATAAGAATTTGGAGAGAGAACTTAAAAGACCACCAAAATCGAGTTCATAGTGCTGATCTGATCTGATAATTTAACATGTCGTATGATCACCAATATTGGTTGCTAAAGTTTTCAGCCCTATTTAAAGAAACTTTATTGAAATAAAAATACCATATTCCAGAAACCTATGTTTATGCAACTAGTAGCATATATCAACTTAAGGTAGTGTTTGTTATATTGTAAGAATAATATGTGATAATGAGTGTTAAGTAGAGAACTTTCTTCTACAAATAAGATGATCAGATGATTACTAGAGGAAAACACCCACCGCATACACGTGTTTAGCCCCTGCTTTTGCACAAAAAAGAGAGAGGATACCCGTCCCTGCACCCACATCAAGAATCACCTTGTCCTTGAACAGAAATTTATTCTGGTATATAACATTTTGATATGTTTTTGTCCTGACACTATCCTTCAACATTTCCTGCACAAATAATATGGTCAGAGCTCCACATACTGGATTTCATGTAGCACTTGAGGATGAAATCAATGACAGTTTGACTGCCATAACAAACATGAATATCACCAATATCCCTGAATGTCATGAACTTACTTCATGAATCCCTGCAATGGAAAAGGAAATTTGTAAGTTCCTGCATTCACCAGATATTGCAATCGAAAGTTGATAACAACATATTTGCTAAATAAGAATTCACAATAGGTGGTTATGTCAAATATAACAACTTCTATAAATTAAAATATCTCAAAAGAGGTAACAAGCTAACCAAATTATGAAAACCAAGGAAAAAAACAAAAACTTCATCAGGAGCTGAAAAATCATGGATACCAAACTTTGCTTATGTCAACAGTAAGGTCAAAAAAATTCGAGGGTCAGACACTGACATATAACTGTTCTGAAGTATCTGAACTTTCAGCATAACAATTTAATACATATTCTAGAAATAAACTCATCAATATGCTCTTAGTTTGCAAATACCTACTAATCTGAATTCATCGATCCTGGAAGAAAACACAAAATGATAAAATGACAGTCTTCCGCAACCATGTTAAAACGAGGTCCATCACACTGTGATAGTACTTACTAACAAGAACGCCACTTAGAGAAGAGACTACGGCAAAGAAAACATGCTATAAATATTCAATTTCTGAACAAGTTACAGCCAATTCTGAACACTGCATGATTACACAAATAAAATCAACCGGCATGCACTAAGAACAACAAAAGAGTGAACGACAGACATGAGTTAATAACAAACTGACACCAGACTGCACCAACTCTCATACTCATCAATGACTATCAAACACAGTTATTTAGGTAGAAAAAAGTACATCTTTCTCAAATCAAAACATAGAAGTATAAAACACTAGCCAGAAAAGGTAGGATTTGTAACTAAACTGACGAAGTAATGCATCTTCTTCTTAAAGCTCACATTACTAAATATTGGACATCAAGTCGTAGCTCTCGAACCCAACACCCAAATTCATCAGAACACGAATTGAGCAAAAAAAAATATAAAACTTTGTCAATGGAACCAAAGAATACAGCTGAAAACGCTACTAAACGAGTAAAACCTCACCGAAATGGGAGTACGAATCGAAGTAGTAATCGGCGCTGGTCTGATCCCCACCAACCAGAGCTAGGGCTTCGCTTCCGTCCTCGAGATTCGAGCTCTCGGTCCTTTCAGCCATGACCACTTCATCTTCGCTCCCCACCGCGCTCATCTCCGCGTCGAATTCGTTGATTCCCTTGCTCGAATCGTTTCTCTGACTGCTGCAGGGAGCTAGGGTTTTGTTCCCGCCCTTTCGGCGGCCCATTTTTTTCAAATTGGGGGAGATTTTGGGGGAATTAGGGCTTTAGGTGGGTTTAGCGAAGAGGGGCGTTCGATCCTTTCGGAGTTGCGGGGTTTAAATAGGTACGGGTTTCTAGTTGACTTGGTCTTCAGTTTGTGGGGGTTTTTCGTAGTAGCCCCTTTCATCTTCAATATTTTAAATTCGATCCCTCAAATCATTGAAATTGCTATTGGGCCCCCAATTCTTGTCCATAGTTTCAGAAATTAGTCTCTGAACATCCAACGATTGGAAATGCTATTAGGTTACCTACTGTTATGTTTTGCAACTGCTGCTCTTTGATCGTAAGAATTAATTTGAAACAATTTGTAAGAGTTCAGGAATTTAATAATTAGAGGGACTAATTTTGAGACGTCGTCAATAGAGTCAACAGTTGTATGTTGAGCGCGTCAGAGCTAGGCAACGATCGATTCAGCGGTTCAACTCTGGAGTATCTCCCTACGTCTAGAACTAGGTAGCGATCAATTTAGCGATTCAACCCTGGAATATTAACACAGCTCTTCGTTACTTTGTTGATTCGACGAGTACATTAACATACAACAAGTAATACGGTAGCCAAGTAGGAACAAAGATCAGCGCGGTTGTCAATCAATACGTGCAAGGTAACAAGCTGAACTCAGATGCCTGATCTAACGACAAAGTCGAGTTCCAGAATGAAATCGTAACGTAATCTCACTTCCACAAATTTCAATTAAAGATGCTTAGAGCTTCCCATTTTGAGAGCTACAGTCACATAAAAAAAACAATTTGATTTGTTGCCATTGGAAAACAAGGCATAAAGCGCAAAGCTACTGGGTAGTAACTACGCAAATAACTCAACTTGCTAGCACAGACTTTCAATAGACGAGATTAAACAAGCACTCTTTCAATATACAACACAAACAAAGGCGAAGAAGCCCTGAAAATAAAACAAGCTTAGCTATTCATTATTCAAAGGATTAAACAAGCGGCTAATAAATCTTTGAATAAGTAAATAGGGTTAGCAGAAAATAAATAAACAATAATAATGATCACAACATTCGTGAGCGTCAAAATGCATGTCCTAACAATACAAACCCCAAATGCCCATCACACCTTTGCGAGAATAGAACAGCCCTTTGTTGGTAATCTTAGACACAGGGGACTCTTGAACAGAGTTCCAGTTTTGCTTGTAGGAGAGCTATAATCACATATCAGGGCCTAAAATAGGAAGAGAAACATAATAATAAAAGGAAAAATATCGATCATTTTTTCCCCCTGAAAAAGAATGAGAACACAGTTGCCCTCCCGGGAACAAAAGAGAACTAGATTTCCTCTGGGATTATCAGCAACTTTGCTCTGGCCCTGATATGAACTCGTGTAACCCATTTAAACCCTCGAAAGAATCATGCAATATGAAACATCTTTCCAAAGCCCATCTCTATGCATAATACATGTACAAACTGTTAGCAGCAGCACATGCAATTGAATTCTCTGATGGGTGCCACGCCAAATGTAGCAATTTGGTAGAGAAATCATATGAATTCCCATTTGCATCTGGTCCTGGGCTCTCAGCTCCTCCTACATGGTAATGTACAAGTTATAGGATAATCAATACACTCGAACATGGAATTAAGTAAGGTAACTTAGTAGTTGAATACTAACCTCTTCGAACAACACGTGTTAGACTGCTCAGAGATCTTGCAGGCCTTGCAGGGGTCTGGACTTGTCTTCTATATGACAACATCAAAAGAAATCAGGTAAAAATTATTCTGGAATTTATCGAATCTTTTGACTTGGTAACATTTGGTAAGCAAGAACAATGACTACACACTTTCTTGACAACTAGGAGTAATTTTCCTTCAGGAACCCAGGTCTACATTTATTGTTTCTTTATCTTTTCCTTTTCTATTGAAGAAAACAAAATTTTCCATGATCATCGATCACAACTATACCTCATAGGATTCTTACTGGCTTCCAAAGTCGTTGCCTCGTTGCTTCCAGTAGCACAACCAAATACGCGGAAAAGATTGCTGGTGTCATGGAAATAGGCATGTGTTCATTAAACCATTTTTTTGTAGCAATGCGATAGTCGGTGCTAACAAGAAACAAATACCTGTATGAACCAGTGGCCACCCGTCGTCCATCACCACTAAGACAGCATTCAAATTTGTCGAAAATTGAATCATTTTCATACAGATCGCATAACTGAATAAAATTAGGACAATCATTAAAAATATATATATTAGACTACAGCTTATTCTCAAAAAGAAAATGAAAAAGAAGAAGAAACTCAAAGGCGTAGCATCCAATGTTACTAACAAAATCAGAATGAAATACATAATTGTAAATAGTATTCACCTTCGGCCTTAAATATTCATGGACCTGGAATGTTGCAACTGGACCACTGTCCATGTTTATATCCCATAGCTGAAATCAGTTACAAGCAAATTTAAAAAAAAGAAACTAAATACTGGAAACAGTTGATTCTCAAAATTGCACAAGGATTGTAACATGGATATCAAAAGCTCATTGCTGATTATCCTCAAAAAAGAAACAATTGAAAACTTGAAGATAAACGGCTAAAAAAAACTATAACCTTAAGAGTCATGTAATCACGACTAAGAATGTGTCTTCCATCCTTTCCAAATTTAATATCTGAAATTGACGCAATGATCTCAGTGAAAAAAGATCTCGAACCTGGTGCTTCTTGCTCCTCAAACCTGGAAGTACATGATATTAGCCATGACAGTAGCAAATAAGCAAATAACTCAAAATAAGAATTCAGTGAGTTTTTATTGAAACAAGAAGTCCACCCAAGTACATGTCACTGTATAAAAGTTCAAAGAAAAAACAATAGATCACTTACAACTTTGAGTGGTTATCACACAGTGCTGATTGTCGCAAATCAATAAGTCGTATAGAGCCCTTAGAGCTACTATATGCTAATGTGTTACAGTGCGTAGGATGGAATTCTGCGGATGTTATCACCTCTGCATTTCAAAGGAAATGTAATCAAAGTTTATTTTATCACCCCCACAAGGCAACAGAACTTCAAATTCATAACAATACATTAACTCACAATATATCACTTAAAGGTGAAGAGATGGTTGAATTTGATAAGAAGACAATAACTCACAAATTCAAACTGTGGCTAAGATTAATACCAGTTAGGTCCTCCATATTTGCAGGCTTCACATCAATGATGTTAAAACTCTGGTTGCTAATTTCCAAGTTCCACAGATTAATTCGCAAATCATCAGCCGATATGAAAGTCTCACCGTCACTGTCAAAACAATAAGGACAAGCATAAGTTGTCTTTAACTATGAACAGTTTAAGAAGGTGTGTCAAGCAGATAGATCCAAACTGAGAAAGTTTAGGCATGTGATGGACCTCACATGTACACTATCGACATATATCCATATTTGCAAAATGTTTATGGTAGTTGTTTCATATTAAACCATAATAAAATACACACATAACTGTAAGACATGATAAACTGATCTGGACACAAGTGTCCAATGTATGACTCCATATAAGATCAATCTATAACAGCTTTAGATGAATAAAAAACAATCTAGCAAGAATAATATAACACTATATAGTGAAAGGCAATATGCATGAAGCAACCTGTTATTTGAAAATAAAATTAATGTGATAATCATGAGCATGAGCATATATTATTTGACATCTAGCAAGAAGGCTGGTCTCCTGGCTGGATACCTAAAAATATAACATACAACCGATACCTCTTCCATTTACTTCTTTCACCGAGAGAGGGAACAGAATAAGATTTCTTAAGAATACTAAGAACCTGTCCATGTCACAAAACAAAAACAATTCAATTTGGACTACTAAAAGAAATAAATTAGAATAACTATTTTTCAAAATTAGCTACCCTCTCTGCAGAAAGATGTTGTTTCCTCTCAACAGGTTCAGGAAGCTGTTCTGGGTCATCAGATTTCTTGCAAAGGACTCATCAACAATAGTTTGCGTGCAGTATAGATAAGCAAAAAATAGTTCACATGCAATTTTAAAGTAATAAAGTGAACTATTCTCTAAATATGTATCTAGATTCACACAATCTAATGATAAATTTAAGGTAATAACTGCAATAACAATCAAAGTATGCAATAGTTATCAAACAACTATATGTGCATATGTTTATAAATCATAAATTGTCCTAACAAATAAAATTCATCAGTTATCAAACAACTATATGTGCATATGAAAAATTCATTCAAATTTTATATTTAATCTGTATATTTTTCTTTCATGAGTAATTGATAGTAATTTACCTTGGTATACTATCTTCAGTTTTTTTTTTTATGGTAGTTGTTTCATATTAAACCATAATAAAATACACACATAACTGTAAGACATGATAAACTGATCTGGACACAAGTGTCCAATGTATGACTCCATATAAGATCAATCTATAACAGCTTTAGATGAATAAAAAACAATCTAGCAAGAAGAATAGAACACTACATAGTGAAAGGCAATATGCATGAAGAAACCTGTTATTTGAAATAGAATTAATGTGATAGTCATGAGCATGAGCATATATTCTTCGACATCTAGCAAGAAGGCTGGTCTCCTGGCTGGATACCTGAAAACAGAACATACAACTGGTATCAGGATCCCTGCTTATTGATTGAATAAGAAGATTTATCAGAGAAAAGAATCTGTATACATGTAACTATAGAATAGGAAGCAGGCATTGTACATGAATGATGATGATAGGCCCCTAACCTTAATAGTATATTCACTAGTAGGTTAAGTACTTGATGCTTCTTCATTCCCTCCAATTAATATTGTGCACCGCATGTTCTTAATCAATGTTCTAAAAAATGAAGATTTGGAACCCATTTATATTGCAAAGTATAAGCTTCAAGGCATGAAACGTAAGAGTCATAAATTAATAACATTTTAATTTTAAATTCATAGATATTATAAGTATATAATATATGTAGTATAATAATTTACAATGAATATATTCAACTCTAAGACAGCAAATAAGAACGAAATAAGATGAGTTGACACGCTACGTATATAAGATATCTATCTTATTGCAAGGCCATACAT